CATCTTTTTAAGTGGGAGAACTTGCACAATTGGTGGCTGACTAAATACTTTTTTGCCCTACTGTATATAATCATTATGTTCAATAAGTTTTATTGGTTTGCCAAGTGTGAATCAGAATCCTAACAATTTTTCTGCTTCTCTAAATTTCTGATTGTGTGCCAGAATGTCTTACCTGCCAGAACAATACAGAGAAAGTTAAATTCATAGATTGCATTAAATAGTAATGTTGTTTGTTTGCATTTTGTGCTAAGCCATTGTAGTTAACAGTATAGCCTGATTCTCCAAACTAGCCAATTCTGATTTATTTAATAAAACATAGATAAATAAGTACATGGTTTACTATGATGTATGATTTTTTGTTTGGTTGTTGTATGCACAGTTACAAATTGACAAATGAACATCTGCAGATTCATAAATGGAATGCAAATCTCAAGGTTAAGGGAAGCTGAGATGATTATTTTTGTGATTTTTCTTGTAGTCAGCAGGAGTTTTGAAGGTCTGAGTGTAAAGCTAGAATACTTCTGAGGACAGAGAATCCTTGTTAGTGACATTGAGCTTAAAGGGGTGAAAACAATTTGTTCTCAGTTTTCTCCAAGAGATCCAGTAATTTACCTTTGTATCACTTTTGGCTTATTCATTTATTAGTGTGATATTTTGCCTTTAGGAACATAATTTTCAGGGACCATTTTACTATTAAGATAAGATTGTAACATTTTGCTGTAGTGCTGCAAAATCACAGTGGTATTTTTTTTTTCCTTTCAAGAGAGAGAAATCTGTGCTGTTCCAAGTGTTCAGTACAGGTTGTTAGGGCATCCAGTTTCTTCAATTTCATTAATGCATGGACTGATGACAATTCTTAACACGCAGTTAGTGATTTTTTAATAACGTACTCAAAGTGCACAATAATTAATAAAAAAAATCTGGTTACATGGACTAGAATAATTTTTTTTGATATATGATCTACTTATTGAACAAATATGGAAATGCAAATATGGAAACAATATCTGAACAATTGATAGAAAATGAAAGATTAATGCTCATATTAAAGTAAATGTACCACTGTGAATATCCTGCAGCCAAAATTCCCAGTCAGAAGTAGGACTTTATATATCTCATTCTTATATCTTTGAGCCAGTATGTACAGGAGAGGGAATCTATTCAACTACTATTAATTTCTAGCAAGTTAAAATTAGACTTAGTGATTAAAAGCAGGATAAAGCAATAATGGGTAGATGTGATCATGCAGGGAATGAATTTGTGGAAAATCTGTTTAAACTAAATATATTTTTAACTTTGAACACACTTACATGTAGTCCTCACTTAACAGTGGTAATTGGGACCAGAATTTCTGTCACTAAGCGATGCAGTTGTAAAGTGCAACATCACATGACCATGCCGCTTAGCGACAGTAATTCCTGCACTTCCGGTTGCCATCATTAAGTGAATCACCACTAGTCGTTAAGTGAGGATGTCATGTGGTCACCATTTGCAACCTCCTGCTGGCTTCCTCATTGACTTTGCTTGTAGGAAGCCGGCAAAGAAGGTTGTAAATGGTGATCACGTGACCGTAGGATGCTGCAATGTTGTAATTGTGAGCTGGACACCAAGCGCCTGGATCATGATCACATGACTGCAGAGATTTTGTGACTGATGTAAGTATGAGGACCAGTCGCAACTACCACTCATTTAGCACTGTTGGAAGTTTGAAGGGTCACTGAACGAATGGTCATTAAGCAAGAACCACCTGTATTTCCTGCTTTGACCACAGCCATTTTCCCCTTGTCCTGCTCCCATAAACTTCCTGACATATTCCACTAGATTCATATGTGGTGTTTGGTTCCAAAAAAGTGGCACATCCAAGTTACACATTAGGGTAGGCTTGATCTTTGAGTTGGTTTTCCAAGCTCTGTAGTACTTCAAAGAGTAAACAAGGTCATGACAGAAACAAAATGCATTTCTTAATGAAATGCAGGTCATATGATTATTTCCCATATTTTACTACTTTCTCTCATTTCTGATTTAAATTACTGCATTTCTGAGGAGCTCTGGAAGTGGTTTTATTGTTTACTGTTGCACATATATTCTACCTTTTCTCTGTAAGGTGGTGTATATGGGGTTTTCTCCTAATTTAATTCCCTCAACAACTCTGGACTGAGGTAGAATGATTGGCCAGAATCACTCAATGAACTCTGCAGTCCAGTGGTGACTTGATCCTGGAGCTTCCTGATGTAAGCCCAACTTCTTTAGCACTACGCTACCAGTGTGAAAGACATCAGATTTACTTATATCTAGATTCTTAGATTCTGTCTATATGCACATAGAGACATTTATATATCAAGATGCTGTTAGTTATCTTTCACAAATACTTGATAATAACTCTATACCAAATAAATATTTATTTTTATACCTTTCCCATCATGTCTGAAACAACAACAAAAATTGAATATATATTTGTCTCTTGTCTTTTTTATCTAACATACAAAGAAGGGTGGAGTGTGTG